ACAGTGATGCTTCATTTATGATAAATAATAATAACATACAACTCATACATGCTATGTAACTATGACAGCCTATGTGAATGATATTAGTTATTCCATATTATATGCGAGATTTATGCGGAAACATCCAGCATTTCCTTTATAATCTTAGGACTTAGTTTCCTGATCACGATCGATCGTGTCACCTCGAAAAAAAATCACCTAATCGCTTTACAGCGTTACATTTATAGTACGGGGACAGCAAAGTACGATTTACTTAGGTCGATTAGATATCTTCATCTTATAATTTCTAGTAACGCGTTAATCGCGTTGCTCTCTTTCTTCTTCATATATATATTGTAATAAATTATTTAAAATTAAAAAGATAATAAATTACGCGAAAGCTAATCACTTTCCAAATACAGCAAATCCGCAATAAGTGGAAATCCGTGCAACAATGAATTAAACAATATTTTTATTGAGAAATGAAATTATTTCACTGGGGCTTACGAATCGTCGATTCTAAAAGTCGACAAAGAAAATTGTCGTTTCGCTTGTTTTGTTTTTCTTTTTTTATTGTAATAAATAGTATGGCTCGCAGTGCGTTCAGGAAACTTAGTCGCGTCTTAATCACAAAAACTTACGATAATGATTTTGAAGTCTTAGCTATAAATATAACGGACGTCAACGTTAATATCAGTAATTCAGTAACATATTTAATGCGTAAAAATGTACAAACAAGACGGAGGTGCGAAATTGTACGCATAATGAGAACCGTGCATGAGAACGACGTGTCACGACGTTCAACGCACAATTTAATTAAAGTTAGCATCACTTCTCGTTTTAGTTTAACGACATTAATTGTCGTTTTACCGTATTACTATAACGTCGAAGTGGCTTCATTAGCTCGATTCGTATGGCTCATTGTGAAAGTGACACAAAGAGATTTGTCAAATACATCGATAAGCCGGTAAGCAAAATATCGAAAATGAAAAACAAAATTATGAAATCATGCGATTTCACTTTATAACAGAATTAAAGATTTAAATATATAAATACTAACGCGAAACTTCAACATACAAGTACATGTGTATACATCAAAATCGATTATATATATCGTGAAATTTAGAAACAATTTTAACAATAGAAAAACAATAATCATGGAACTGCGCTTTTCAAAGAATCATTTGCTTCAAGATTTCGAACTCCGATTAAAATGCTCAACGCACACATATTCTCCTTAAATAGTCTTACTTATCTAGAAGCTTAACTATATCGCATGGTAAATCGCATTTTATTTAACTAATGAGCAACATGAAGCATATAGAATAAATTTTATCATTGTGAGCAGTGTTATGTGATGTTAGGCGCTAACATTCGTATAATTGGACGGGATAGAGTAAAATGGCATTATCTCAGGCCAAACTAAACCGACCTCGAATTTTGCACGTAATAAACGCGCGAGTTTTTCTTAAAATATCGTTTTACTTTATTAATAAATAAATTTGTGATGCTATTTGTGATCGTTAATTATCATTAATTGAATCTAGTAATATCTGTCTAATCATTAATAATTTACTATTGATAATAAAATTAATAATAAATATAAATTTATATTAATCACGTTATTTATTAGAAAATCTGACAATTTCACGAATGTTAGCGCGCGTTATTAATTGCAAAATGAACGATTAATTCTTAATTTGATATTATCGTGCTGACGAAATTACGATAAAATTACAGATATCAAATCGCTATGTAACATGAACAAGTTGTATCTATGGCAGAGATAAAGCTTGTTTCTCAGCAAAGCTCTGAAGCATGTTTTCTTTTATCGATTTTTCGTTGGTGTAGCAACGAGCAAAAAAGAATTCAATCAAATATAACGGAAGTGCTGCGTGCTGGTGCTAACTATTTCAATGACAACATTCTATTAATTAATTTGTGTTGTGACTATAATGTACAATATTATATATACAATAAATTAATAATGACTAATACTAAAACTTCAATGCATTGCAGTGCATATCGAGCTCCAATTTTTCGTACATCTCTGCTGTCTCAATAATTTAGTTAAAGTATACAAGATGCTTCCGCGATTTGATTTTGCTACATCAGTATCTATATTGCATGTATATATTTTTTAATTTATAAAAAGTATTGATTAAATAATCATACATCATATTTGAGTTAGGCAAACGTGTAATCAATTGTATCTCTTCATTTTTAACAACATTCACGAAAATAAAAAAAAAAAGAAACGAAATAATTACGTTCTTATAAATTTTAAATATATTTAAAGCTCCTATTGGTTCACTGTAATCATCTTGAATTAAAACATTAGAAACAAAAAATATATAATAAAATTCTTGCAAAATGTATATCGAATAATCACATATTTAGAAAATCAATTGTGTAATCAAAAAGAGAGCCACAACTCAATTCTATGTTATTTATTAATTAACGGAGCGAAAGATGAGTTTTTAGAAGACTGAAAACATACTTTTATTGAAAAATGTTTTTATTTTTATTTCAATTTTAAGAATTTTCATCATGTGTTTTCTTGCTTTTGACATACTTTCCTCTTAAGAGTTGCAGTGAACCACTAGAAATAATGATTGCCTTAAATAATGTTTCCTTTCGCATATATGTATAAAATACATTAAGTACAAGAAATATGTTTCATCGAGTATAATTTTTCTTATATTCAATGCAATCAATTATCAACTCCATACATAAAGGAAACATATAGGAATAAACATAATAGATAAAACTGTCTCTTCTCCAATGATCTTGAGAGATTTTGACATATGCTGTTATCATATTATCGAATAACTCAGAAAATTTTATCTATCATTCATGATTTATTAAAAAATTATTAACAAAGATTTGAAAAATATATACAGTAGTATATTCAGTATTAAAAGATGTAATATGCAGATCCACAAATTATAAGATATACTGTATATAGGATGTCCGGTAAGTCAACCGTATCATCTCTTATGTGAGCAAATAGAATGAGTTATGTTAAATGAAAAATGTCATATTCAGTACTACGTACGTTTATGGTTGATTAGTGCGTAGCAAAATGTATGAATTACAAATGAAAAAAATATCTGCTTATAGTGCATGCCTTCAAACATATACCTAGGCCATACGCCTAACAATCGTGAGTATATATAACGTTGGACTATTTTGTTATACGAGCTCGTATAACGATAAAGCTCGCTCATTCGCGGATTTGTATAAATTAATAACTCTTTAATTATTCCGAAAATTGCAAAATAATATAGAATTTTCAATATAACACTCTACTTGCCCACGAAAAGTGATGCGGTTATTATCGGATATCCTGTATAAATAAATTACATCTTTTTAGCCTTTAAGACCAGTTTACTGAATCACAGAATTTGGAATTAAATTGTAATACTGCAACTCTTTATATTATATCAGAAATTTAAAGAAGATCTAAGAATATATAAACTGTTCTCTAAGCCTTTGGGATTATGATCTTAATTCTCTTAATATACATATTAAAGTTAAAATTATTGAAGAAAGCTTTTCTTTTTGACAAAATATATCGAATTCATCTGAAAATTGTTTTGTTTATTTTTACTATAAATATATCGTTTTGTAATTTCAATAATTTCATAAACGGAATCATCTTGTATATTATATAAATCATCACAATAAAATAGCGTTATAGATTCTCTTTGCTTTTCTTCTTTTCTTTCTCCAAAAATAAACATTCTATAAAACTATTTCGCGTACTGAGGATATTGTATGCGAGCCACCAAATCTATATTGATCATTTTAATATATATTATTATATATATATATATATATATATATATATATATATATACATATAATGTGCTAATATTATTTAGATATATATGTAAATGAGATCGTGTAAATACTGTAGCCCGAAGCATAAAATCACTCCAATTATCTCACTATTAGAGCAATTTCAATATATGATTTTGTGATTTCAATAGTAACTTTACTTTGAGTTTTGCGTTTCGACAAGTAAAATAATGTATCTCTCTGTGTACATTACACATGTTTGCAGTGTATCTCGTATATGACAAATGTTAAATTTTATGGAAATAGATTAAAACTTTTTTCTTCTTGGAAATATATATAAATATCTTAATCGCTTTCAGGTATTCAGTTGACGGAAGCCTATAAGTTTGAATATAGAAGTTCAATAAAGTTATATAAATTCAAAATCTGTGCTGTTTCCTGTTTTTCCGTGTTCTTTTCTTTCTTTTTTTTTTGTATTAGTCTCTTATCTCTCATACAATCGTCAGTGTCTCAAAGTTATTCGACAAAGCATTCAAATTCTGCAGAATAACTTTCTTCTCATTTCATGTTTGATTAACACATAGGTAAAGCTTTCCGCTACATATAGGAGACTGATGCTTCCTCAGACATTTACTCAAATAGCAAACAAAATTAATTAATTCTTTTTATCTTTTCCCAATCCTGCATTAGTTTCGTGCGTGTTTGAAGCGGTGCCATCGCCAGAGTCGGACTTGTACTTTTTAAATACCTTCTTAGTCTCTTGGTGAACTTCTACGTTACTCTTACCAGTGCTTTTTTGTTCGGTGACAAGCACTTTATGCGGTAAAGATGTCGCGGTAGATTTCTCGCCGGTTTGACAATGCCTCTGATCCAAGTTCTTTTGTAAGCTCGTGGCATTAATTACTTGCTGTGTGCTCGTTTGCAGAACACCAAATGGAACGGTCTCCTCTTTTTCAAAGCATTGTTGTACTTTACTATTGCTTGTAGCTTGGCGTTCATCGTTCTGAACTTTCTCTATATCTCCGGGCTGACTGTTACTACACGTTGATTGTTGTTTGTCGTTTTCCATGCTGATTTCTTTCGATGACGAGTAATCATCGCTCTTGGTACCTGTTGGCGAATCTTTCTCCTCGGCTATTCGCGGCAATTGCGTACTACCACAAGAATTCGACATACTTACGTTTCCTAAATTAATAGATATACCATGAGTCAATTTAGAATAGTCCGCTTTCTGTTCACTTGGCACTTTTTTTTCGCCCTTTGCATTCTCATTGGCTTCTTTAAAACTATCGTTGGAGTCATCCGATGCATCGCTGATATTGTGGGATGATTGCGCGATTGTCACGCGCGGTGTCACTTTCACCGCGGTATTCACCAATGGCGATATCGATGTTTTGTTTTCCGCCGAACGTGGATGAAGCCGATCAGGACTAAGTGCTCGTCGAAGTAGCGGCGAACCCGGTTCTGCAGATTTTGGACGGCCATATCCTTTTTTCTGATTATTCGGTGTCGATAAACATGCTCCTAAACATCATGGAATTATTGTTACAATATTGTTATTTGACAATAATTTATATTATCAAATTTAATATTATATATTTTATAATATTTTATAAAGTTTAATCTAAACTTAAAAGAATTTTGTAAGTCATTGTTAACAAAAATATCAAGAATTTTGGGCCAATTATTAAGTCTTTTATTTATTTGTAAAAATTACGCTTTACTGTGAATTAAATTTTTATATTTGAATGTAGATAAAAGAATTTGTCATGAAAATGTGAACATGATAATAATTATTTGTGTACCAGTGCATTAATTAAAGATAATGCCAAACTACAACGTCTGCAATTTACATCTATTCTGTTAAATGCTGTTTAAGATTTATAATTTTAGGAATTGACTTGATATCGACAGTCACGCCTATTATTTTTTTTAACTTAATAGAGAAAGAAGAAGGAAGTAATAAATGTAAACACTGACATACACTAAATCAATACTCAGAATTACAAATCTTAAATAATACTGAATTAAATGCATTAAAATGCATATGAAAGCAAGAATTTTTGAAGATTTGCATAAAATCTATGATATATTTATATTTTGATTAATAAGTTATTTCAAACTTTCTTGTTATTATTCATCAGTTTTCTTTAATTCTGTTCAAAATTATATCTATCTAGAGTTCAAACAGCTCCTTAATTCCTTAATTATTGAAAATAAGATCCACATTTATATATTTATATATTTATAATTTTAACATTTTTATCTCAAAATGCTTCAAAAAGATTTAGGTTTTAAAGTAAGGATTAAATTTCATGAAATATTCCATAGATATTGAATTTTATCAATATTTTTATATTATCAAATTTTTAACATGATTTGCCAGAAAAAAATGTTACTTCTTTTGATACAGAAAACAGTTTTATACATTCCATGGGTGCAAATTTTGAAAGGTTCTGTACAACATAACATATTGATCAATACCTTTTTCAGAATTTTAATTATGAAAGAAACTCAATTTATGGAAAATTGTAAGGCTAAAATAAATAAAAAAAGAACAGAAATTAATAATAATAAACATATTTATTTTCTTTTTAACAATTTTTTTGTAATTTTTGTTTTCATAATTTTTAATTATTTTAATCCTTTCAATCCCATTGGATTATAATCGTAACATAATGTACTTAAAATCTCTCAAAAAAAATAGAATCAAAAGGATTAAAACTAACTGATTAAATAATAATTTATATCTTTTATAAAAAAATTTTTAAATTATGAAAATCGCTGCAGGATTTTCCAAAAAAGTAAAAGAAAATAAAAAAGAATATAATTTTATAGACTAGATTATTTTAAAGATTTAAACTAAACTACTTTAGAGACTACTTTAAAGATTTTAATGCTATTTGACATCACAGCCTCATATTTCTTATAATGAATTGTTTTCTTTTTTTTTTGTCTCAAATCAAGATACATCAAAAAATTATTTTACATCTTAAAATACAGGAATCTATCTAAAAAAATTTTTTAACTGATATTTTTGTATTTAAATGCACCTTTTTTTAAATTTGTATTCATATTTATCTTTCTTTCGTTACATATTTCTTAATCGCATCCAACTGTCACGGTTTCCGAAAAGAATGCAAAAATACAATTAGTATATACGTGATTACTGTGATAAGTGTTTTTAAATTGCATAATTGTATTATTTTTTTCTTTTTATACCTGGGCTATACGACTGCGTAGTGTTGGAACTACCGGGTTGATGGCCCGTGGGAAACGCCAATGGGCTTGGACTTCTTGTCGGACTAGCAGGAATCGGTGATGGACTCGGTGTCCTGGCCAACGGCGATAACGGTATGTGGCCAACGGATTTTCTGCGATTTGGTGAATGGATGTTCTTCGCGGCCGTGTGCAGCTTGTGCTTGAGACCATGAAGAGTACTTGGACGCTGGTAATGCGATTGGTTCGATATGCCTGATAGATTACCCACGGACGTATTCGAGCCCGGAGACGAGGAGTTCGGGCTGGAGCACGGACTCGAATTTCCGGTAGAATGATAAGAGTCTGTGCTGACACGATTTGCCGGTGGGGACGAGCTGCAGACGGATTTCGAACAGGCTGTAAAATATGGCGATGTCTCCTGCGAGCGAGTGAACGACTGAAATGATCGACTGGGTGTGACCATCGAGGGTGAACAAATTCCTGCGGCCATCTGTAAAATTTTTAACAAAATTCTCTATATCAATGCAAAAAAACGAATCCCTCTTGTCATGGAATGTCTGAAATAATCTCTGAGTCCAATATTTGACAACTTTATGTACTATCAACAATTGACAATCGTGAATGTTGTTGTAAACTTTTGAACATAATGATTATTTGCGGAGTGTGTGATAGCATTCAAAAGCCATGTAATTGCATAAGAAATGCATGTTTAACAAAGGATGCAGCGAACAGAAACAATATCGATGGAGAATTGCCGGAAAAATGCATAAGAAATCATACCATAAGTGGAGGTTTGCTGTCGCTGGACAAAATGGGTGCTGACAATGGACAACTGATAGTTAACGGCTGCAAAAGAAAAGGCACTTAACGTAATCGCGTATATGGTGCTTTAAAACTTTCTTTAGTTCTTTTTTTTGCAATAGCGTGTAGAGAATAAACGTAACTTTTGTGTACATCGCTGTGCAAAATTGATGTCAACATTAAATATATCGCACAACGAAATATGGCGATTAATATCAGACAATATAGAGTATAGTTGAAGTATACAGTATACAGTTATCGTGGAATATAATTTGCATTTAGTAGTAAATGCATCGTATTCAAACAAAATTTTCCAGTATACCTGCTGCATCTCTACGCTCGCCCGTTTAGAGCTTATTTTCTTAAAAAGAGATGTCTTCCGTTTCTTGTCTGTGTGATCTCGTTTTTGCTTTCGTTGCTTATGCAGCGTCCGACGTGCCAGTTTACTTTGCGCAAGATCGCGTCGTCTACCACCGGTCTTGATGCTGGTGTTTTCTAATGGCGTGCTACGTAATGTTACGTGATCACCGCCGCTTAGCATCAGCTGCAAAACTTGAGTATGATATAGACCCTGCACCGGTTCACCGTTTATATGCGTAATCAGATCGCCTGGTCTCAAACCGGCTTCGAATGCCGGGCTGGACTGTTCAACCTCCTGTAGAAAAATGATTTTTATAAAATATAAATAAAATTAAATATTTTAAAAAGATTTGTATGGTTCGTTTCTCAACAAAGAGAAGTAAAAAATATATATATATATGATAAAATTTACAGATAAAATATACAATAATAAAAATAGAAATGCAAAATTAAAATGTTACATATATTGCATTATAAAAATTAAATACGAGTTTAGACATGCATAAAAAAAAGTATAAATCTATAATAAATAAAAATTGATATAATATAGAAAACAACAAAGAAATAAAGAATAAAAAAGAATAGTTTAATGAAATAATTTAAAAAACATTAACAAGAATGAAGAACAATATAGAACTTTTACATAAAGAATTATTAAAATCAGGTATGACAATAAATAAATTCCTACCAAC